GGGCGGCACGAGGCAGCGGTTGCTACGGGCCATGGGGTGCGCTTGTGGTGGGGTGCACGTCGTGCTTCCTGCTGCGCTGGCGATGCTTCACAGGGCATACGGTCATGCAAAATAGGATACGGACCGTGCAGCAGCTCCCCTGCTCTTGCTGCCCGAGCCCATCAAAACCAGAGCGTTGGAACCTCCATCCCCCCCACAACCAGGCGAGGTGGGCCTCTTCGTGATGGGCCGCGGCGGCCTGGAGGCCGCGCCCTCCCCTGAGCTGCTGTTCACCAACGCTGAGGACGCCGCGGAGGGCGGCGCCATGGCGGCCGCGGGCGCGGCCATCGGGGCGGTGCTGGAGGGGGCGCGGCCTCTGCTGGTGGAAATCCAGGCGCTGTGCAGCCCCAGGCAGCAGGTGGCGGGCCCTGGCGGCGGCGGCGACGATGATGACGAAGAGGATGAGGAAGAGCGCGAGGACGGCGGCGGCGGGGGCGGGTACGGCGGCGGCGGCTATGGTGGCTTCGGGGGGCGGCGGCAGCGGGAGCCCCCTGCGCTGCCGTTGATGCGCGTCGTGACCGGGTTTAGGGACCGCTCCCGCGTGAGCATGCTGATGGAGGTCCTGGCCAAGCACACCACCATCAAGGTGACTCGCGGGGAGAGGGCAGGGCACCGTGGCATCTACAGCTGCCCTGCTGCGAACGGTGCAGGGTCCAGGCTCTGAGGACGGGATGAGGCGGCTCCCTCACACCCGTGCAGCCTGTGAGGACAATTAACCACACAGACGCCCCCCGACTCTCTCCAGCCGCCAGTCAACTTACCCAACTGCCTCAAGCTCCTGGGCTACAATCTTTGAACTCGCCGCTCCCCCCGCTCCCCCAGACCCAGGCCGTCAACGTGCACGTCAACGTGGTGGGGGGCTACCGGGTGGACGCCTCAGAGACGGCGGCGGACCTGCCCCTGCTGGCGGCGGTGGCCAGCTCCTACCTGGACGCGCCCCTGCCCCCCAGGACGCTGGTGGTGGGGGAGGTGGGGCTCAGGGGGGAGCTGCGGGGCACGGCAAACATGGAGGTGGGCCGGGTGCAGGGTGCGCGGGCTGCTGGCGGGGGGCGTCGGTTGAGCAGTGCACATGGCAGGGCGGCCTTGAGCCCACGAGGTGGGGTGAGTGTGGTTAGGGGCCGCAGCACTGTCGCTGACGACAGCGCGCCCGGGAGCCTCTTGCATTGCAGGCAGCAGGTTGGCGCGTCACGCCCGTGCTTGGTTGCTGCTGTTGCTGCCGTGCCACGACGAGCTGGCGCATTGTTTGGCAGGGCGCCACAGACCCGCGCGCGACACCCCCCCCCCCCCCCCCCTGGTCACCGTGCCCATGCTGTGCAATCGGCCCCGCAGCTGCGGCTGCTGGAGGCGGCGCGGCTGCGCTACCAGCTAGCGGTGGTGCCCGCGGCCAGCAGGGTCGGCCTCACACAGCAGGAGCTGGGGGGGATGAGAGTCGTGGCTGCGCGCACGGTGGGGCAGGCACTGGAGGCGCTGTTTGGGCCGAGTGTGCTGCCACGCCAGCAGCGGGCCAGCAGCGGGGGCGGCAGCGGCGGTGGTGGGGCCGCCGCGGCAAGACGGCAGCGACGCGCTGCTGTGCAGCCGCTGTCGTCGGCCGCTTTTGCATCTGATGAGTGAGGTGACCATTACTCAACCGATCGCATTCAAACCATAGTTTGCTTGTTTTTCACAATGTCCCAAAGGGACAACAGAAATGCATGCCACAAACTTACAACATATGTGCTCTCATCTATCACTGCCTTGACCAGTTAAATTTCCGCTGTGTTGGCAGATGCCTTTGCATGACACGTGTGGAATGGCACACCGTCGCTATGCGTTATCAGGCAGCCGCCCTTCAAAGTCCACCACAACCAGCGCGTGGCCCTGCTGTCCCTGAGACCCCGCCTCATTGGGCCCCGTACTGCCGCCTGCCAACACCCGCAGCAGCGGCGCAGCGGGCATCAACAGCCCTTCGCGGCTCAACTGCACAGCCACCCCTTCCAGCACGACGCAGCTGCAGGACATCGCGCCCGCAGCATTGGGCAACTCGGCGTCAGAAGCCAGCCCAGCAGCAGCAGGAGCAGGTTTGGCCGGAGCATCTGCAGCAGCGGCACTGGTGCTTGCCGCCAGGCCGCAGGCCGTCTCAAGGTGCAGCAGCTCGTCACTGGGGGCAGCGCCAGGGTGCACCACCACGCGCGCCAGGTAGCGCCCCGCCCCGGGCGACGCATTGAGCAGCCCCTCCGGCGAGACCAACGCGGAAGCTCCGCCATCACGCAGCAGCAGGGGAGCGGCCTCGGATTCGCTGCCATCCATGCTGCTCGTGCTGAAAGCCGTTGGTAGGGAGCCAGCAGCATTGGCTCCATTGCCATTTCCGCTGCCTAGGGCTGGATTGCCGCTGTCCCTTGGCACCTCATCTGCAGCCTGCTGCTCCTGAGCCTGCTGCTGCTGCTGCTGGCGCTGCAGCACCGCCGCTCCAAAGGCCACCGCAGCAACCAGGCGGTATGGACGACCCAGGAGCCGCGCTGCGCCATCGACGCAGCCCGCTGCCAGCAGCTCCCGTATCTGATGCGTGTTGCGTGCGAGTGAGTGGGTGAGCATGTGTGTGTGTGTGTGTGTGTTCGTGTGTGAGAGGCACTAGCAAAGCACAGGAGTGCCATGTCAGCAAATGGCTCACCTGAGCTGTGGCTGCGACCGGCCTGTCATGCTGCAATCACAGCTGCTTGGCGCAACGGCGATGAGACCTTCAGGACGACCCCCAAAGCCAACGAGGCCCGCACCCCCTCAGACAGCAGTGCGGGCCCTCACCCGCGACGACGACACCGTCGTCGGCCCCTCCAGGCCATCACTGTCACACGATTCGCCACCGCTGGCCCACTCCCCCCCGCCGCCGTGCGGCCAGGCCACAAGCGGCACCGCAGTGCACGCCATCCCGGCCTGCGCCGCCAGCCGCTGCAGTGCCGCTGCATCACCAGCCGCCTTGTAGCCTGCAAGGTGGTGGGCGGCACAGAGCCGTGGTGGGTTGACAATCATTCATGCTTCGCTGCAACAAAGCGAGTAGGACACACGGCAGTGCATGCTTCAGCCACGCCAGCTGAGGTGGTGGCAGCGAGTGGCGCGCCGCGCACCCGCTGGCTAGCTACCATAAACCAGCACCAAAGCAGGCGGCCTGACGTCTCTTCGCTAGCCCTTCCCCCACCAGGCAGACCCAAATACTGCGCACCAAAGCGGTAGTTGACACCGGCCACCACCCCGGCCGCCCCCAGGTCCTCCGCCAGCAGTGCCACAAACGCCTCGGGGCTCAGGCTGCGAACAGCAGAGAACGGGATGTAGCGCTGCCGCACTGGCGTGTGCTGCTGCTGCTGCTGCTGCTGCTGCTGCTGCTGCTGCTGCTGCTGCTGCTGCTGCTGCTGCTGCTGGGCGGCTAGCTCGCGAGCCCACAGCGCCAGCACGCGCGACCTGTCGCAGGGCGCAACCAGCGGCAGCCGCTGCGGCCAGCCTAGGACCTCCGCCATGCCGCTGAACGACAGCAGCAGCGGGGAACCGCCCAGCGCCGCCGCTGCAGCGGCCAGCGCCAGGTGGCCGCGGTGCAGTGCGTCAAACTTCCCCAGTGCCACCATGGGGCGCGACACCCGGGGGCCCTCACAGCCTGCCCAGGTGGGGTAGCGCGTTTTGGGTGTTGTGACTACGGCAGTCGACAGTCACTGATAGGCGTGACAATCGCCAAGCAGCCACAGCCAAGGCGTACGTCTAACACCATTGGTTTCACCAAGATGATACGAGCAGTCCTGGCTGCATCGCAGTGCCACGCGGGTGTCGCGCAATGCTGCGTCCTTGACGCTCATGCTGCGTCCTTGACGCGCATGCTCCGTACTAGACGCTCACCCGCCAATGGCCGCCGCCAGTCACTGAGGGTGCATCTCTCCACCAGAGGCGCCAGCCGGTCCACTGTGGGCCAAAAAGTCACACTCTAGCAGTGTTGCATCGTGGCATGGCCGATGCCCCAACAATACAAGCCGCCACCACGCACGCACAGGTGAAAGTGCCGTGAGGGGCGCACCTGCTGCTGCAGCGGGTAATGCGGCCTCAGCCAAGACACGCGGACGCCGCGTCAAATGTCTGGCGTAAGCTGGATATCTCGGAGTATGTTCTCTAGTCGCTGGGCGTTGCGCGACCCCCTCTGCCCGGCTCTGGATCATTTGCGTTGTTTCTCGATCTTTGCTGGTGGAACTCGCTCGCTTTGGCGCACTCTTGATGATACAATATACAGCGTGATACCGAAAACTAGAACAGATTGCCGCTGGCATCAACCACGTCTCTTCGGGTTGTCCGCTGTCACAGATGCCACATCATGGGCGCGCAGCAGCTTCACCTGCAGCTGGAGGAAAAGCTATACCTGAAAGCTGTGGTTGCGCAGCAGCTGCGTATGTAAAGACGGCCTTGCAAAGGCGTCTTCCTGGAGCTGATGCGCAGCAAGTTGTGGGTCAAGTGCATGTCGGCATTGGCGCTGCACCTCCGCAACATGGAGCATCCCGGTTCTCAACTGCAGGGTTGACCGTGATGGCACAAATGGCAGCGCAAGCGTGCACAATTCGCCGTTGCAGACATGTAATGTGGTTGACAATGGCCCAGGGTGTTCAGGCCCAGGATGCACGTGGCCTGGCGAGGGGGAGGGGCAGTTGGAGCGCAGCTGCGCAGAAGCTGTTTCTGACAGGGCACACTTCCTTGGTGCAGCAGGGCATGCACTTAGGGAAGCTGTTGGGCAGCCTCATGCTGCACTCAGAGGGTACGCAACTGCAAGGGCGGCAGCTCCAGCAGGTGCCCATCCTGGCCGCGCATGAAAGTTTGAAGGTCAGGCCCCCGCAGTCTGACGGTGAAGTCGCGCTGCCGGCCAGGCTCAACATTGCCACAGGTTGGACACCATTGGGGATTCCAGCGTTCAGGCCTCGCCCTAAATACTGCGGTCAACACCTGAAGGACGGGGGACGGTGTGCTGGCGCACCAGGAGATGAGGAAATCACAGTGCACAGCTGAGATGGATTTGGCTGCAGGTAGCAACCTGCGCGTGCATTGGAAACGGCACATATCTACCGACCCGCGGTGCAGTGCCCCAGCTCAATGCTCAACACATCCATTTCGTTGTTGAATGCACCCCGCTTGACCATCGATTACTCATTGAGGTATACAGTATCGCGGATGAGGAAGGACGGTGGCCTGTGAGGCCACGTCCAGGGGGCCTTCTCATTGGGACCCTGCACAGAGTCTTCTCTGAGCAGCGACTTGCAACAGCTTTCAAAGTGCGCCCTGATACATTGGTGATTTCCAGGTTGCCCGAGTCATGTAGCTGATGGACGCTCCCCACAAGGGATAGGCTTGTTGAGTCAATACATTGATGTATTTTCGCACCTGCACCAGGGCCAGTGCGTGCCAAGACTGGCACTCACCTACACCACGGTTGTTGCAGCTCGAGCTTGACATCACGTCAACAGCTGCTAGCCATGAGAGCAACTCCGCTCTTATAACATGGCTGATTTACTTGCGAGCAACAGCATCAGATGAAGTAAGTTAAACGAGTATGATTGGTCGATTGCTCCCAACACAATAGCGAGATGATGGTATAGCCCAGCACGTCATCAATTACCCGCCTCCTACAGCATGTGCGCAGAAATTAAGGATGCGCATGTAGTCTTGGAGTGGGGTTGGGGGGGTTGGGGCACAAGCTGGGTCGGCAGGTTCCGCAAGCTTTTGGATGGGCTGCTCGAAGAGGACTCGGTTCACAAGGGGATGCGCAGGTGTGCATGCTGCAAACCTCTGTTCGCTCGCACATGTGCATTTCAAGTCCGTGACAATTATATGAGACTTTAGAACGTGCGTGCAGGCCTGTTGACATGATTTTCGAAGCCTCCTTTATGACTTCACTTGAGCGTGCTGATGCGGTGTCACTTCGGGATCTCATGCACTGAGCAAGGTGGCCATTCTGCTGGTGCAGGCAGTGTTGCATTGAATACGCGCGCAAAGCTGACTATACACCCTGCTTGGTTGCAGATCTCGCGCTCACTCAGACTGCTGAACGCCGAAGCGAGCACTGCCCGGCAACTTGCGCATCAAACGTGCTGAGCGGCTCTTACACCATCCGACAGAAGCTTGTGCCGTCCCAGGGGCGCCACATTGTGAAGGCGGCAGCGCAAGAACAGCACGAGCCGCAGCAGCAGCAGCTGCAGCGCGTGCGCACGCGCGGCGCAGCCTTGGTGCAGCAGAAGCGGCGGGTGCGCGGCGGCATGATACCTCACCTGCTGTCAGCAATATGCCGGGCCCGGTCAGTGCCCAGCAAGGGCTGGAAGGTGCTGACGACAAAGCAGTACAAGCGTATGTACAAAGGTGCGAGGCTGTTGCCGGCGCCGGGGAGCAGGAACCCATGAGACGAGCTCTGGTCGGGGCCCACCGCGTCAGAGGACGCCTTGATTGGTCTGCAAGGGCAGTGGATCTTTCGACCGCAGGCCTAGCTGTGGCTGGCACCCGTTCACGACCGCAGTGTTTCGACCGCTGTGTTGCCTGCCATGTGTGCCTTCACCCACCAGGGAAGGGCGCGATGAAGACGGGCGTTCACACAAAGCACGGCGGCTTTCAAGTGATGGCCTCCATGCTGCCGCACTACCTGGTGCCGGACCTGGAGGGCTTTGACCTGAAGCCCTACGTCGCAAACTACTCTGAGCAGAGGCACCGCGGCCGCAGCCAAGGGGACGCGGCAGCGCAGCAGCAGGCAGAGGGGCAGAAGCAGCGCGACGGCGGCAGTATTGCGCCCTAGGCGTGCATCTGGAAGTATCTCTGTGTTCTTGTGCGCTCAGAATCTTGTGTTGTTTACTCTTGCCATCCGTTTGTCAGTTGTGATCAGAATTTGGTTTGCTCCTGCCTCAGACCATAATCAACCCTTGAGCGAGTGCGAAAATAGGGTGGCCGGTGTCGTAATCCCACAACATCGTGCCAGTGTGGTTGAGTGAAATCATATGAGTGGGGCGGTGGTGCCCCTGCTTCCCAAGAAGGCTCACTTGTGCCTGGAATCAACAGTGGCAGTGTCAACGCAGCAAACAGTCCAACATCCGCGCCTGGTGAAGTTGGGCAGGTGACCAATGCTGCTACCAACAATGCGCGCGTGCTATGTGCAGTCGGGGTGCAGTGGTATCCACAGTGCAGTGTACAGCGCCAGACCAGCGCTGGGCACAAACGCAGGAGGGAATATCGCAGCGGCCGGCAGCCTGTTGTATTTTCAGAGTTTTAAGGTGCGCCTGCAGCCGCCACATCACAGAGAGGCCGCGCGCTCCATGTGATGGCCGGTGCTAGACGCGGCCCACCTCAACATGCGGCCCGGCAGCTGCGGTGCCAGGCACGCGTGCTTGTGACAGGGGGAGTGGGATGGGATAAGATCAATCCTCGGAGCTGTGGGAGAACTGAGGCGGCTGGTGTCAGGCCATGGCTGCGAGCCTTGGGAGTCCCGCGGGTCAAGCCTAGGGGTGCAAAATGCGGCAAAGCAGCCTGGGGATCTGAACTGAAGCAAAGCGGTGCCTGCCAAGTCGCCGGCCAGGTGGCTGGGCACCAAAGGCCCAGCAGGTGCCGTGCCGCCAGCCAGTTGGCTGGGCTCCTGGCGGTCCTGGGGTCCCGAGCGTGTCACGCGAGCGGAACGCTGCCCTGTGTCTCTCACTCCTGTGTGCCCCGAAGGCCGGCGGCGGCGGAGGTGAGGCTGCTGCTGGCGAGCTGCAGCGCGAGCCCCGTCGTGAAGGAGGCCAGCAGGTTGTCGGTCCAGAGGTAGGCGCCGTACGCCGCCGCAGCGCACAGCATGAAGCGGCCCCCAAGAAGGAGGTGCGCGCCCAGGGCCAGCGCCTCCCCTGCGCGGCCAGCATCGGAGGCGGTCGCCGCCTCGCGGGCCAGCGCCGCGCGATGCTGCTCCTGGTCGAGCAGCGGCTGATAGCGCAGCAGGGAGGCGCGGGATGCAGCCTCTGCCTCTGCCGCGCGCCGCCGCGCCTGAATCGCAGTCACCTGTGGGGCGGATGAGATAAACGGGGTTTTGCGTTGGGCTTGCAGCCGTGACAGGAGTGTCAAACATCAAACCCACCCTGTTGAAGCGCCTGTTGAAGCATTGCACCGGTCGGACCACGCCCCCCCCCCCCGGGCATTGCCCGCACCTCGTCACTGGCGTGGTGGCTGTACCTCATCCCAGTGGCCACCACGATAACGGCTGCGATGGCCCACCGCAGGGCCTCGCTTAGCAGTGGCCCTCCGGCGCCCAACGTCTCCTCCCCCAGACCCGCCTCAGACAGCCTGCCGAATCGCAATGGCGCGGGACATCGGGAGGGAAACATGTTCTGGGCAAGCAGCTACAGTGCTGCTTGAGCTTGTGCATGTGTCTGAGCTACAATGGCTACAAGCTACTGGCCGGCTCGCACCCCACGCTCCCTCAGCCGCGCTCACTACTCCTGGTGCAGCGCGCCCGCTGCCCTCCAGGGCCCGCACCTGTTGGAAGCCCACAGCGCCGCAAAGCCCAGGATGACGCCGCGCGACAGCAGCTCCTCACTCAGCTGAGAGGCCGCCAGCAGAGCAGCGCGCTGTGCGGGCGGCGCGGCCCCCACCAAGCCGAAGCGAGCGCGCTCCTCCTGAGCCAGCGACAGCGCGGAGCCCACCACGCGCAGAACAGCGCTGGCGGGGCCGTCGGGCGAGGCGGAGCCGGCTGAGGCCATGCGGGCGCCATCCGGCAGCAGCAGCAGCGCGTCAAGCAGCACCAGGGGCGCCGCCACCTGCGGTGTTTACAAGATTGTCATGCTGCCTGCTGGGTCGTCGTGGCTTATCCAGGGCTGACCGTGGCACATCAGACTGCCGGGAAAAATGGTGTGCTTGGCATTCGACCACAATGGGCGGCGTGCCTCTGCCTGCTATGGCCCCTCTAACTCCTCTGCACCCCCCCCCCCCGCCCCACCTCTAGGCCCAGGGCTGCGTCTGCCGCGTCAAAGTGGAAGGCCTCCAGCAGATTCACGTTGAGCGCATACGCAAACAGGCACGCCAGGGAGCCCCTGCCAGGAGCAAACACGCGGGGTAGGAGGGTGGTGGCCATCGCAGGGGTGAGAGGGAGGGGGGCAGGGGTGCGGTGGCAACAGCTGCCGCATAGGATTGCTAGTGTGCGGGTAGAGGTGAAGTAAGGGCATTGTGTGCTGGACTGGGGCCACAAGTGCTCAAGCAACTGAGTGGTGTGCGAGGACTGTGCCGTATGAACTCTGTAAACCCTTGAACTTGCAACTACCTGATGCCCGATTCAACCAGCGACTGCAGCGCGCGGTCCTCCTCGGCCACCGGCGTTGGCTGCAGCGGGCTGCCGGGGCTCTGCAGTGCCGCACAGCGCAGCCGTGGCGTCCTGCAGCGCACGGCCGCCACCAGCGGGCGCCGCGTGCAGCCCCTGGCCACCAGAACCTAGTAAAATAGGAGGCAAGTCAAGCGCATTGGGTGTACACGGATGCTAGTGCGTGCGCCAGCTAGGCATTGCTCTGGCACGCAAGCGCCTCCAGTGACGGGAGCAGGTCGGCGCCGTCGCGCAAGGCTTGGCCACGTGCATGCTTTAGGGTACGTACCTTGGAGTGTGCGTTCATACTCAGGATATGCCGGGTCATGTATATTCCCCGGGGCGGTCGGAGGTCTGTCTTGCAGAGTCACAAGCCTCAGGAAATCGCGCTGCAAGCGCTTGGGCACGTAATTGAGTACTACGCACGTACAATTGAATGCCTGACGAACCCGTAGTCTGCGACGGGGGCCCCCGGCTGCCACGCAAGACTGATGAATGGGGACGCGTCGACGGGGCGCTACGTGCGCCGGAGGAAGGTGTCAGAAAGATATCTTGGAAGTCGTGTACGGCGCAGCAGCTCCCACAGCGCTGCCTCACCTGGAATGGACGACTGTGTTGACCGAAAGCTTGTGGGCCGAGACCGCCCCTGGTTTTTACGTGCTGTTCCACAGGTTCCTTTCTTGCAGTTGTGGCACAGCTCGAAAGTCGGTGCTAGCGCAGGTCACCACGCCTATACGCTCGCCCAGGTGGTGGTCCCCGTCGCAAAGCCACCGCCTTGACGCGCCCGCACACCCACGAGGTGCGGGCGCAGCTCGCAGTGCTGGCGGGGGCAGAATCATCAGCAGCAATGGATGGCGCAGCAGAAGCCCCAGTTGTGAGCCCCTGAGCAGAGAATGGACCACGCATTGGCAGAGGTGCTGGCAGGGGACGAGCGCGACCCTCGTACTTGGGAGTGCGCGAGCTGTTGATCACCACCGCCCCATAGGTACGCCGGCTTGTGCTATGTCGACTTTGTTGTTGCATCGGCAGCATGTGCAGGCAGTGTCGCCCCAGTCGTGAGTGTCAGCTGAGCATGTGTCGCTAGTTTTCGGGTACCGCGCCCGCTGGCGCGTGACAACCCAAAGTGTGATATTGCGCCCGTTACCTGAGGCCTTGGGGGGTCTGTAGCTGCCTAGGACGGTGACGAGGGTGGCTTTTGGAGTTACTTTACCGACATCAAGTGCCGGGGCTGGCCTGGCGGGGGCGCACGCCTCCCAAATGTATTCTAGGGCAAAGGCATGAGATATTGTTACAACAGTTGCGGAAGCATGCCGGCAACCGCACTGGGGCCGTCAGAATGAAATGACCGCCCTCTGACCTTGGGCGGGGGGGCTTAAATACAAACGGGGCGCGCGCGCAGCGCGCCGCGCTCGGGTGACGGGTGACAACAGGGAAAATCAGCTAAACGCGCGATATATGAGCGTTTAGGCTCGTGCAATCAACAAGCAAGCATTTAATTACGCTTTACACCGGTTAGAAGCAGAGTTTGCGGCCAAACGGTGGCAAGGCCTGTGCTGGGCACATCATCACTGATGCGCCACCCTCAAGGGACGCAGCCGCAAGTGTTAGCCTGGGCAAACCAGGAGCAATTGGGGCAATCACACACTGTCAAATGCATCACGCAAAGTTACTTGTGGCACGCGCTATGCGTCCATACATGCAGCACAGGTGTATTACAGAGTTTTTACTCCTAATCTCAGATGAGATTGCACTCTGTGCAACTTTGGGCAGGGCGATGACGTTTCATTGGAGTTCATGAAGCCCCGGCTGAGTGTGATGCGCTCAGGGCGCGGATGGCGTCGTGAGGGCTGCAGCCAGGGCTGGAGGCAACGCACCTTCACATGCAGGGCCACGTGAAGGTCCACGCCAACAGCACAAAGGTGAGTGTAACAGCAGCGAACAACCTCGTAACTTGTGACGGCAAGTTGCTGTGAAGTACGCACCTCACAGCACTTGCGTGCTGATATGCTTGCGCGTCAGGGACTGGGGCATATGGTTGGCGCGCACACTTGTCAACATGCAAATTTATGTGCGTTTGTTGATTGTAGCACGTGGATGTGGCCGCAACGCTGGTGTTTGCGGATAGCGCTGCAACGCAACGTTTCGTAATGCTTTTCTTTGCCGTGCGAGTTTAGCCTGATGAGAAAAGGGCCCTGCTCAAATTCTTGTTTTGTATCAGTCTTGCATATTATGTCGTGTAACAGCAGTTTACATCATGCGGCCCGGGGGCGCTGGGCCTGCAGGGTAGGTAGGTAGGGGGGGGGGGCGGGGTTGCCGGCGCTTTAGTCGCGGCGACTGCGCCGCCAGTCGCGGCGACAAAGCTGCGGGATCCAGCTCAAGACCGACGCGCAACCCCTGGCGCATACCTGAAGAGACAATTTTTTACTTCTTACAAATCTTGATCGACCCTCATACAACCCGGATACGGTAGATCAGCCTTCCGGACTGAGCACTGCGCTAACACGATACTTCCTTCGTCTCGTGCTCTTCGGTGAGGCCAAAGGGGTTGCTCTTGTGAAAATGGCACCGGCTGCATACTGGCGCAGGGGCCAGCGGAGCGCAATCGCCAAGTCGCAGCCGGCCCACTGCGACACAATGCCGCGCGGCAAAATTGCGCTCCCGCCCACCCCCACCATGAGCTCCCCTGCCGAGGGATGCCCTCCTCTCCGGAAATCCCGCCACCCCGCCCGCAGCTCTCGGCTTGGGCGCGGCAGCCTTGGCGCAACCTGCTGAGCGGGACAGGTGTGGGGCCAGTGCTGGGTGCACTTGTTTTTGTTTGGATCCACTGTGTCGGACTTTGGTGCTGCGCGTGTATGCTGCCCAGAGATGTCAGTCAGTATTGTGTAGGGTCGAAGCCCGGATTAGCCCTGCCCAGAGACGCTCTGCACACGCGATGCATCACCGTCTGCAAACTTGCGCGCTTTGCGCAAATGGCCGCGCCCCACGATCATCGCCCAGGCATCCCAAGACATAGCGCGCGCGGCCACCAACATGGCGCCTGAGCGGCAGAATTTGCACGCCTGGCAGCCTGCAGCGCAGCAGCAGACGCTGACGCAGATCCTGCAGCAGCTGCAGCAGCTGCAGCAGGTGCCGGCGCAGCTGCAGCAGCTGCAGCAGCAGCAGACGCAGATGCAGCAGCAGCAGACGCACATGCAGACGCAGCTGCAGCAGGTGGAAGGAGCGCTGATGCAGCGCATCGCGGACGTGGACCACAACGCGCACACCCGCGTCATCAACAGCCAGCTCAATGGGCCGCAGCAGGTCGGCTGGGTCCGGAACGACGCCGGGCAGGAGCCGCAGCAGCCCCCCATGACGCGTGAAGCCCTGCGCACCAACATGAGCGGCGCCGCCGTGAACGCCGTCCTGGGCCACTACGGCCTGCCCGTGCAGGGCACCGTGCAGCAGCGCCGCAACAGGCTGCTGCACCACCTGGGCATCACTGTGTGAAGCGGTGAGTGCGCGGGGGCCGGCCAGCCACCAGGGGCCGGCTGCGCGGCGCGGACGGGCGGAGCCGCGGGCTACCTTGCTGCGTTCTACCCTGGAGCGCGTGGCTTCGCCTTTGAAGCTGGGCGCAGCGGGCGCAGGGTGCCAGAAAGCGGCAGCAGGGCTGAGCAGAAGACAGAGACACCCCCCCTCCCCGGCCCACCACTCCCACTTTCACTTGCAATCCACAGGTACCGGGCGCACAGGTGCGGCGCAGAGTCCACAGCGTCAGGCAATCGCGCCGCGAGCGCTTGGGCACGTAATTGAATGTGAAGCAAGTACGCCGTTACAATTGAATGCCTGACCAACGCGTAGTCTCGCTGCGACGGGGGCCCACGGCTGCCATGCCAGACTGGTGAATGGGGACGCGTCGACGGGGCGCTACTTGCCCCGAAGGAAGGTACTCACAGATTGTTTTGGAGCTGTATGGTATGATTGTTACCATATAGCAGCAGCAGCTGTGCAGCAGCTCTCGCGGCGCTGCCTCACCTGGAAGCGACGTCCGTGTTGACCGCAAGCTTGTGGGCCGAGACCGCCCCTGTGCATAAGTCGCGCCATCAACGGGGGTGCAGGTTTGCTGTGCTGCTGCATGTGTGCACGCCATGGGACCTGTGCGCCCCATCCGCAGCACAGCGCACATCACCCCCTGCAAATTACGCCGTTTGCCGCGGTCACCCAGGACTCCGAAATCGCCCACCCTTCTTGAATTCCCCTTGGGTTTGGGACTACGAGACTGTCTTGAAACGACCGCCTGGCCTGTATTGCTCAACCATAGTGACTGTGTCTGGATACCGATTGCAACCGATGCAATAATGCCACGTGAAATTACATGCTACAGGACCAGCTGCATCAACAGTTACAAGCGGGGCAAACACAAGCAGGTTGACACCAGGCATCGACACCTTGAAGCGGTAGCAGCCGCTCGCAGGTCAAACCTGTGAGCGTGCGTGCGCCATGCAGTCTAAACCCTCACCATGCAGACGCTGACATGCGGGATGGCACAGCCCTTGGTACAAGGCTGCAGCCTCCTGCCTCACAACCAGTGCTATAAGTACCCTCAATCTCAGTCCTAACCGGCAGCGTTGCGTGTCCCGGCATCGTCATCTTCTGGCGGCCACCGCGGCTGGCGCACATTCATCGACGGGAGCTGCGGCCCGCGCTGCTGCTGGTGCTGGTGCTGGTGTGTCCTCGGTTGCACCTGCCCCTGTTCCTGCTCGTGTCGCCGCTCCCGCCGCGCCCGTGCCAGCCGGAAGCCTGCGACGCAGACAGCAACGCAGCTGGCGGCGGCGGCCTTGATAGGGCTGAGGTAGCTGGGGGTTGCGCGGAGCGCAGGGAGTGCAATGTGTGCATGTGTTGGTTGGGGGTGGGGAGTGGGGTTTGGGTTAAGGGGAAAGCCATTGTGCAGAAGTGAAATGAGGGGGCAGGGCAACGAGCATGGTGACAAGACGCGTGGCAGCAAACATATAGACATTACGCTCTCCGCATGTTGTAGTCATTGCTTGCACCCGCTCGTGCGTGGCCTCTACCTGGCAGCAGCGTGCTGGAGCAGCGGTCCTGCAGTGTCGACGACACTGTCCACCTCCGCCTCGTATGGCGCCATAGCCCGTGACACAAACGCATACACATGGTCGGCACCCTGGAGGGTTGTAGCATGGCAAGGGCGGGATGCGCTTTGCGCTGGTGCTGAGGGGAGAATTTTTTGGTCAGTGTTTCGGGCGGTCGCAGGCTGTGGGACGGGGAATTCAGAAAAGTATAATGACGACGAGCACGGCTGCGGCAGGAGCAAGCACAGCAGCACAAGGCACGAGCGGCGCATAACTGAAGGGGCCGTGGAGCGCTTCGCACCTTCCCGCCGTCCAGCAGCAGCCACAGCAGGAGCGCCAGCTTGGCGGAGGGCCAGTACCGCCAGCGCGGCAGGCCTACGGGCGCCCCAAGGGCCTTCTCCCCGAGCTCCACCAGCGCCGCCGCCATTGCCAGCCGCAGGGCGCGGTCCTTGGCCTTGGGGCTGGCCTCTGCCTGCGCCGCCTTGTACGCGATCCACGCGGGCGCAGCGGTCCCGGCCGCCAGGCAGGCCACGCGGAACGCCAGCACTGCGGTGTCGCTGGGCTGCACCAGGAGCAGCTGAGCCACCTGCATACGGGCCAGAAAGGGAGGGGGTGCAAGGTTGTCGGTGGCACTCGCGCTGAACAGAGAGCGTTCAGGGTGGGGCCGTGGCCAGGGCTCGCGCAGGTCTCAAAAGTCACCCATCAAACGCTGCGTTTGGGTCCCTCGTACCTTCAAGACGTCAGCCATGGCGTTTGCAGGGACGCGGCAATCGCGGCATAGCCCTCGTACAGTATCGCCGTCGCGTGGCGCCCCGATGTTGCTCGCTTGCAAGGTGTGCACACGCTGCTACCGTGCTGTATAGGATCACTGGTCGCCCGGAGAAGCCCCGAAAAGTAGAGCGCTGTTGCCAAGCGTGGGTTCATGAATTTGGCGCGCAGCTTCTGTCCCGTCCCAAATACTGCCGAGTGATCTTGCGAGCCATCCCTGCCGCCCACCAGTCGCAATGCGAGCGTCGTGGACACGAGAAAGTGCCAGCGCAGGCCGCTGGCACGCCAGCGCTCCGTCGGCGCACTGCGCCTTTGCGTGCGCCGCACGATCAGCGATCACCGCGCCCGCACCGCGTCCCTCGCCACGCTCATTGGCCACCCGGTGCCGGCCCGCCAAGGCTGAAACGCCTCAGCATCAGCATCACAGCAGCGATATGAAGAAGGCACTGTGGAACCCTGCCGCCAAGCGGCTTGTGCAGGATTCGCTCGAGGGCCTGGTGGCGTCCGTGCCGCACCTCAGGCGGCTCGACGGCTTCCCCGAGGTGCAGGGCGCGTCGCCAGGTGCCTTACTGCCGCCCATCACCCTGGCTGCATGCGTCAGAGCCCGACGTGGCCGCGCTGGTGAGGCATGTGATGCCGTGGCCACGGTCGCTCAGTGTGCCGTGCACCCTGAATCGCACCCCCCCTCCGCACCCCCCCTCAAACCCCGGCCGCCCTGCGTGCTCAGGTCAACGTGGTGGTGGACGCCACCCACGACCGCTCCCGGGTGGCCTGCATATCGGGCGGCGGCAGCGGCCACGAGCCCGCACACGCGGGGTTTGTGGGGTCGGGCATGCTGGCGGCAGCTGTGTGCGGGGAGGTGTTTGCGTCGCCTTCAGCGGAAGCGGTGCTGGCCGCCATCCACGCGGTGGCGCCTGCACCGGCGCTGCTCATCGTCAAAAACTACACGTGAGCACCTGGATGAGGGGTGAGGGCAGGGCGGGAGTGGGGGCAAGGCGTACATTGCAGCGCAGCCTGGCAGGATTCAAGGGGAGCGGTCAGCGTGAAGGCAGGGGGGCGGCGCCCCCAGAAGCGCAGGCGCACGCTGCGCTCGTGCATCCTTTCATCTGCTATGTCTGCATGCAGTAGCGGCTTCACTCGCGTTCCCTCTACCCCGCCCCCCTCAAAGTGGCGACCGCATCAACTTTGGGCTGGCAGCAGAGCAGGCCAAGGCCGCGGGGCTGGCTGTGGATGTGGTGGTGGTGGGGGAGGACTGCGCCATAGACGCCCCGGGGCTGGCGGGGCGGCGCGGGCTGGCGGGGACGGCTTTTGTCCACAAGGTCGCGGGTGCGGCCGCGGCGCAGGGCGGCAGCCTGGAGGAGGTGCGGCGGGGCGGGGCCGGTGTGGGGTGGGGTGGGGTGGGGTGCACGTACCCTGTCGCTGAAGTTTTTGGTGCTTGTCACCAGCAGACTGCCCTGCACGGGCGGCGCGTTCCTTGGGGCCTCAGTGTTGGCGCGGCTAGCATGATGCGGCTGGCTTGAACTCGCTGCAACCTGCAAGCTTGGTGTCTGGCTGACAGCTGTCTTCCTGCGCGCAACCCCCGGCAGGTGGCTGATGCCGCGCGGCGGGCGGCGGCCAGCATGGGCACCCTGGGGGTGGCGCTGGATGTGTGCTCCGTCCCTGGGGCGCCGCCGTCAACACGCCTGGGGCCGCGAGGTGCAGAGTGGCACGCTAAACCCAGAATGTGCAGCGCTGGACCGTGGCGCCCAGCAGCCAAGCGAAGCGCATCCACGTATACTGCTTTGGCGTGCGCCCGTAACCGCAGTGTTTCATGCCACGATGCCGCCGCCCAGCCACTCTCCCTAGTCTTGCCCGCCCTCCATTCCATCCTCACCCCCTCAACCCGCTCCAGACATTGAGCTGGGCCTGGGTATCCACGGGGAGCCGGGCTATGAGACGCGCTCCTGGCAGCCCCTGACGGAGCTGGTGCCAGCCATGCTGCGCCGCATCCTGGCCTACCGCTGCGCCAGCAGCGGTGCGACGACGGCAGCGCTCAGCAGCGGGGCGCCCCTGGCCCTGCTAGTGAACAACCTCGGCGGCAGCAGCAGCCTCGAGATGGGCGCGGTGGCGCACGAGGCACTGGGGTGGCTGCAGTCCCAGGGGGTGAGACAGGGGGCTGGCTGCAGGATTGGCTTTTGGGGGGGGGGGGATGCCTTGCTGCAGGACACTGTGTGGACGGCTGCACTGGGCACGTTTGTTTCTGCTGTCAGCAGCAGCCTGCGCAATAGCTGTGCCAACAAAGGAATGAGGTCCTTCCAACCCTGCAACCAGCTGGTCCCTGGTCAATGAACCGCCACTGCAAAGAGCCGCCCGCGTCACGTGCACCGCAGCATGACGTGAGGCGCGTCCACACCGGGGCGGTGGTCACGTCCCTCGACATGGCGGGCGTGTCCCTCACACTCATGGCCTGCGACGAGCAGCGCATCGCAGCCCTCGACGCGCCGGTGAGAGGGATCAATCCCTGGCACGCCTTCACGCCATCGTCCTGCCTGTTGACCGGATAGCGAGAACCTGTTCCTCACACTGCCAACCCCCTTCGTTCCTCCCCTGCCCCCGGTGTTGAACCACCATCAGACGTCTGCTCCGGGCTGGCCCACGCTCGGTGGCCCCGTGGACACCTCAAAGCCGCTGGTGCCGCTGCCGGCGGCGGTCCACGAGCTCCAGCAGCGCCGCCTGGGGCTGATGCAAGGCCGGCCCCTGGCGTCCGCGTCGCCCCAGGGCAGGGCGGTTGAGGCGGGCATCCGGGCGGCTGCGGGCGCACTGCAGGCTGCCAGGGACAGGCTTAACGAGCTGGACGCCAAGGCGGGGGACGGCGACTGCGGCACAACGGTGCGGAAGCGGGGGCAGGCGAGGAACCGGAGAGGATAGGCCGCTGGGGGCAGGCCACCAGGAACGGCCAAGGGGGTGCAGGGCCCCCGCTTTGAACGGCATGTGACTAAAAGTAACCCTCGCAACACCTGCAGGTGGAGCGCGCGGCATCGGCGCTGGCGGCTGCCCCAGAGGGCGCGTTTGCAGGCGGCGCGGCCGAGTCGCTCCAAGCCGTGGCGGCGACTGTGCGCACTGCAGTGGGCGGCTCCCTGGGTGGCCTGTACAACCTGGGCCTCACGGCGGCCGCTGCGGCGCTGCCCAAGGAGGGCCCCGCCAGCCCAGAGCAGTGGGCAGCGGCGCTGGATGCGGCTTGCGGGGCAGTGCAGCGTTACGGCAACGCCCAGGCCGGCTCGAGGACAATGCTGGACGCGCTACTGCCCGCTGCGGAGGTGCGTGGCCGTGTCCACGATAGCTGCTGTCGATTGCGTCACAGGTGGTGACACCTGGCTTGACACGGCTGGCGCGAGGTCACATGCCTGATGCTGCCTTAGCAACCAGTGTTGACATCTCATTACCCTAATTCAACACAAACAAACAGGCGCTGGCCGCTGCAGTGTCGGCAGGCAACAGCGGTGCCGAAGCTGCGCGGGCGGCTGCTGCTGCCGCTGTGGCGGGGGCGGAGGCCACCAAGGGCATGGCGGCTTCTGCCGGGCGTGCGAGCTACACGCGGGGCGCAGCACTCGCCGACGCCGACCCTGGGGCTGTGGCTGTGTCAATCTGGCTGCAGGCCATTGCGGACGTTGCTGCTGCTTGAATGCGCTGATGGTAACTACCTGAGTCGCACCCTGCGCTGCGCTCAGCGCTGTTGACACGCAACGTCCTGTGTAGTTTACTGCGAACTGCTGCAGGTCTTCCCAAAGCTGCATGGAAACAACACCAGCTGATGCACAACTACACTGTTGGGGCCAGGCTCGCCCCCATGCACATTCGAGGATACTGACGTACGCATGCACGTGCCGCGTGTAACTGAGAGGCCTACAAAAGAAAATGGTGTGCTGGAATGTTTGCACACGCTGGCAATGCTGGGCTAGGCTAGCTTCAGCTCGTGCAGCTCATAGCGGGAGAGGCACGCGGGCGCGATGGCGCTAAAAATGGCGGCGGCGGCGTCGCCGTCGGAGTAGGCCGTGGCGGTGAACGGCGCGCCTGCCGCGCGCAGCTGCGCCATGGTGCCCTCAAAGTACTTCGTCTCGCGCAGCACTGTGGCACCAGACTCCGGCTGGTCGTACCTGGGCTTGCAAGCACACATGCAGGGAGCGTTGTGGGCGATTTGAGGGGCCGTGGCTGAGGTGGCGCACAATGCAGGCGATGGCACACAGTCCCCTGAGCACTCATTGCCGTGCGCCTGTGGCTGCGGCGCACGCCCCCCAGACCCCCAAATAGGCGGCTTGAGGCCCTCACCTGCAGAACAGCCGCGTCTCCCTGAGCCGCACCATGGTCCCATCCACGCGCAACCAGAACCGCAGCAGCACCAGCCAGCAGCGCGGCATCACCCGCACCTTGGCCACCAGCTGGGAGCAGCCGTTATCGTCAAGCTCTGACTCATACAGGGGGACCTCCGCAAAAAACAGGATTGGCTCGTCACGCGACATCAGCAGCGCACGGTCCGCCTGCCGCAATGTAGGCACCCACACAGGCAGGTCGCAGGGCGCAGCCGCCGCTGCCGACACAGCTGCCGCGGAGGCTGTTGCTCCATCCGTCGGTGCGGCGGGCGACGCGTTGCTGCCTGCCGCACGAGGCTGGCACATCGGGTGTCTGGGCCTTGCGGCCGCCTCAGCTGCTGTGAGGGCCTGGGCCGCCGCATCTGCGCTCTGCTGCTCCCCCTCTAGGCTTGTGCAGATTATGCGCTGCGGCAGGGTTTGCCCGGCCCCTTGCTTCTCCTGCAGCCCTTGCTGGCCCTGCTGCTGCTGCTGCTGCTGCTGCTGCTGTGAGGCGACGCTAACGCAACTCTGTGTGCACTCGAGTGTGCCCTGATAGGGGGTGGTGTAGGTCCAGTCGTACTCCAGCACCACAGCCTGCTGCCGCTGGATCTCTTCACGCCGCGCCGCCTGCCACTGCTGCGCCACCACCACCTTGAGGGACGGGAGGCCCTCGCGCCGCCACGCGGCCAGCGCGTCGAGCGCCGTGAAGCTCAGGGTCACGCCGGACGCCGCATGACTCAGCTCCAGGCGGCTGTTGCCAAAAAGGATCTCAGGCACAGTCAGGACGCCGCCCAGGTCGCGCGCCGCAGCCTCAACAGCGGCGTCACCGATGATGGGGGCGCGCGTTGCGCGCACACGCCACCCCGCAATGGAGATGCCCCTGCCATCCTCATCGAGGGCGTGGGGCGCCATGGGTCGGCGCAGTGGCGGCCGGGGACTGCAGCTGTCCCCTCGCGCTGCCTTGGGTGCACTGGGCGGGCCTGCATGCAGTGGGGCGGAGAAGGCGGTGCAGGGGCGGGCACGCTCGTGGCGATGGCCGAACAGCTCGTTTCGCAACCGCACGCAAAGGCCGCTGCCGCCAACTTGTGAGCTCTGGCATGCAGCATCCTCCATAGGCGGACTTTCTGTGACAATATGTCACCTGCCAAGAAAGTTGTGCACTCGTAGTGTCGGTGGCACGCTCGCTGATCTAGCGAAAGCTGAAAGCTCACTGCGAGTGCTCCCCGCAGTCTGCGGTGTGCGGCAGCACAGCTGCGTACAGGTCTTGGATGCGCAGTACAAGCGTGCATGGCCCATCCAACATTTGATACGCTTTGATTACGACCTAGATCACAGAGAGTGTGTCACCGCCGCCTGGATGCGCAACCCACCTCATATCTCTACAAAGCGGCGTGCTCAGTTGGCCGCCGCGTGGGATTATTGCTATGATTTCATCTTGAACAGCTCACGCGTGGGAGGCGCTCTTGAAACATTGACCAGTCAAGCTCTCCAGTGTGGAAAGTACAATGTCATGCGTTTCGTGCACGAGCTCTTGCGCAAGTGATGCAAGTGCGCTTGAACATGCCTGACACTGCACCATCATCTCAGCGGCAGCTGCCGTGCTGAATGTGCTTGAGTATGTCACACACAGTCGTGGTTACCAACTTCTTGGACAACAGCTGTGACAAAAACAGGGTGACTGCACACTGTTCGAGTGGGGTCATGTAGGCGCGCCGCCACCTGCTGAACCCCTGCCCCTACCACGGCCAAAGTCGCGTCCCCTGCCGCGGCTCAAGCCGAGGTGCCCCGCCCCCCGGCCTGCGATTGGTATGTGGTGTGCAGGAGGGGGGACGGCGGCCGCCGCCGCGTCGTCCACCCGCTCGCCTGTGGCAGGTGGGTTCTCCGGCCACTCGATCAGAGTGACCTGCCGCTTGGTCCTCCTGCTGCCGCTGCCAACCCCCACACCCCGACCACCGCCGCCACCGCCTTCACCGTCAGTCAGGTCGCCGCCGCCGTGCCCGCCCAAGTCTGGGGTCGACTCGCGCCGCGCGCGCTGCTGCTGCTGCTGCTGCTGCTGCTGCTGTGTGGCTAGTGGTGCCTGGAGTGCGCCAGTTGCCTCGTCTGCCTCGTCACCTGCGAAATCATGCATGCATACAGCTGGTCGGTGTGCGGTCGTCGATGCCCCAACGCAAGCATGTCTGGACTACTATCTAATTGGCAATGCGAGTTGCGTGCATGCGCTGTGATCAAAGCAGCCGAGCAACGTCTCATCCTCAGCCGGCCTCACCAGCGCCCTCCAGCAGGTCCTCTAGCTCCTCCGTGACGGCGGGCTGCACGGGTGGGGCCCCGCCAGCATGCAGGGCCCCGTGCTCAACCACACCACTGCCACGAGCAGCCGCCTGCACAGCTGCTAAGGCCTGTCCGGGCCTCGCGAAGGGTGCACCGGATGATACAGCTGCAACGGGCTGGACGTCAGCGGGCTGCTCCTCCTCCTGCTGCTGCAGCTGAGCCTGCTGGGCCTGCTGCTGCTCGTCGTCGCTGTTGCTGTCCTCCGCGGTCAAGTCGATAGTGTCCCCGCCTCGACCTCTGCCGCTTGGGCCGCCCTCTGCCATGTCCTCATCCTCAACACGCGGCACTGCGCCTGTGATGGGCACGCTTACATCTCCATGGGCATGGCTGCGGCCCTGCTGCTGCGCCTCCAGTAGCCGGTGGGTCTCAAGCCCCTGCTGCTCGTGTGGCGGCCTGCCAGGGGGCGCCGGCACCGCAGCTGCTGCTGTGCCTGATATCATGGCCGCTGCTGGTGCTGGACCAAGTGCGGGCACTGCTGCGCCAGCGTCAGCCTGGAGGTTCTGCTGCTGCTGCTGCTGCTGCTGCTGCTGCTGCTGCTGGGCTGCTGCAGGCGCAGCGCCCTGATCCGCCTTGTGCGCCTCAGTCTCAATGCGCACACGCTTGGTTGGCGGCACCTCGGCCAGCGCGACTGTAACACCTCGTTCCTCTGCGCCAGCGTCGCGGGCGGCCTCACCTGCCCCCTCATCTACAACGCCCTTGGCCTGCTGGGGTGCGAGCCGCCTCTTAGCGGCCAGGGCGCGGCCCTTGAGCCCCAAGGCGAGGTTCTTCAGGGACGCCGGGTCGTCGCCGCTGGTTGCCCCCGCCGGTTTGGGGGACTCCTGCGCCTGCTGCTGCTTGCCGGCAGCCAAAGAACCGCCAGCCTTGCTGACGGGGGGTACCGGTGCGGCAGAAGGAGGGCGCGGCGCTACCGGCCTGGACTCCTGTGCAGCAGGGCTCAGCACAGGCAACCGCACCTTGCCTGACGCTCCCCCAGCCACTGACATTGCCGCACCACCTGGCACAGAGCCATAGCCAGAAGGCGGGCTTCGAACGCGGCCACGCATGCTGCTTGCTCCCCTGGGAACGACGGAGGCCGCTGCTGGCTTGTAGCCAACCTGCTGCTGCTCCTCTTGCTGCTGCTGCGGCACTTGCAGTGGCTGCTGCTGTTGCTGTTGCTGCTGGTGAGTCGGATCTTCCTTGGGCTGCTCCTGCGGTGTGGAAGCCTCTTCCTCCGGCTGCTGCTCCTGCTGCGGCTGTGGCGGCTGTTGCTGCTGCTGCTGCTGCTGCTGCTGCTGCTGCTGCTGCTGCTTCGGCTGCTGCTGCTGATGTTGTTGCTGCTGCTGTTGCCGCGTGGTAGCTGCCTGCATGACTACCTGTGCAGCACCAGAAGCGCGAGTGTGTCTGATAAGCCTTTGACAGGGTCAGGATAGAGTGCAGGCTCAGCACGGCATGCGCGCCACCGCGCCCGTTGCGCCCCTCCGCTTGGGAACCCACCATACGCTTGGCTGCTTCGAGCTCCCCAGCCAGACGTACGGTCTCCGCCCGCTCAACCTCAAGCTGCTGCTTGGCTGCCTCCGCTTCACCCTGTGGATGCATGCAAGATGCGTGTGATATAGCCACGGAGAGGGTGGGTGAGGAGGAGGGGCCCGGGGGCAGGGTGACGCCGGGGACAAAAGTCGCAGCGCAGGTGACAACACCAGTTTGTCAGCCGCGGTCAGGGTGATGCCCGGCAGCGTGCCGTGCAGATGTACCCATCCACGGGTTGGGTTACGGATCACCATACAAGCAGAGGTCGTTGCCCACCTTGACCTTCTCCAGCGATGCCTTGGCGCGCCTGAGAGTGTCCTCCAACTTGCTGTGCGCCGCTGTCACCGCCGCCCTCTCCTCCTCAGCCCTTAGCTGCCCCGCAGCCGCTGCCGCTTTCTCCTGCTCCGCCTTTCGCCGAGCGGCCTCGGCCTGCTGCCGCGCCAGAGCCTCCCTGTTGGCGCGGCCCGACACCTCCGCCAGCAGCGCCTGGGCTCGCTGCTGCGCCTGCGCCTCAGCACGCCGCGCCGCCTGCCGTGCCTCTGACAGCTCACGTTTTGCAGCGAGCAGCTCCTCCTAAGATATATGGCAGAGAGAGGGTGGAGGGTCTCGATGTGAGCATTTGCAGTCAGCTGTTCACAGCAATGCGGAGGCGCGTGGGGTCATCAGGCCAGGAGCGCATTGTCTCTTTGCTAGACCACACCGGCTCCCCTAGACACACGTGATGCCGGCCCCTGTCGCATTGTCACCTCTGCCTTGTCAGCTCGGCCCTTGGCACGCGCGTGTTCCTCCAAGTCCACTGCCCCGTGTCGCTGCCCCAGCCGCTGCAGGCCGGCCTCAGCACGCAGAGCAGACTGCTCCGCCCTGGCCAGGGCCTCTGTCTTGAGCTGCAGCTCAAGCTGCAGCTGCCTGGGGCGGGTGAGGTTGATTTGGGGTGGTGGGCAGGGGAGTTCAGAATGATGGGAGGCCAGAGCGCTGAAAAATCAAAGCAAGGGAGCTTCAAAGCACAATGTCTGGAACAGTGAAAGTGTGTGCATGCTTGGGTTGCTGCATTATTGAGCGACGTGCAATAGCATAAAATTGCTTGTGATGCATGATGACACACCCCTATAATCACATACATAAGCTGCACACATACGCTTCCATTCGCGCCAACCAACCCCCTCACTGGATCTGCCCCGTCAGGGGTGCGACCTGGCGCCGGGCCTCCTCCAGCTCCCGCTGGGCCCTGACCCCGTCCTCCTCCAGGGCGGCTACGCGGACGCGCAGGGAGCCGTGGGCCTCGCGCAACCTGGTGAGCTGCTCCTTGGCTCGAGCCGCATCCTGCATCTGCTCAGCACTCAGCACAGCAGACTGCGCATCCTCCTGCGCCGTTACCTGGTGGGGCCGGGGGTGTGGTTGCTAGGAATGAGATGTCGGGGTTGGCGGGAGCGGTTCTGCCGGGTCCCATAAGGGCCATCAGGTGCCAAGGAGCGCAGAATGGGAGCAGCTACCCCGAACAAGGAGCAAGTGCTAGAGGTGGTCTAATCATACACTTGAAGCAGCTCTTGAGGGGAGCCCAAGGCTCGGCTCCAAGCCTGACTCCTCTGCGGCCTGCAACAACCGCCCCCCCCCCTCACCCCCCCGCCTAAACACGCACCCTGGCGCGCAGCTCCTCCAGGTCCTGCCTCACGAGGGCCCTCTCACGAGTCAGCATGGCGGCCTCTGCGGCCAGGTGCGCCGCGCGGCATTCCAGGTGCTCCCTGTCCTGCCGCGCCGCCTCCAGCGCCTCAAGCAGGCCCTCGCCTGCAAGCGTGAAGGGCGCATTGGTGGAATGGAGGTTGTGGGCATGAAGGCAGCGAACTTGGTTTCACTTCCTGATGCCAGGTTTGGAGCATCCTTGATTGATTGCATGCGCAGCGCGCCGCGGCGATCTAACGCCACGCGGTAGGTGAAACCAGTGGGCCAGTGAAAGCCGCGGCAGCATACGATCTGCTGGATGCGCAGGCCTGCGCTGTTTGTTCCCCTCTGCCTGTGCGACCCCTACGGTCGCAACTCACCAGTCGGAGCGATGGGCAGCAGCTCTGCAGACTGCGATCCCGCCAGCAGCTCCTCAACCTGCCGCTGTAGCGCGTCACGCCCCTTGAGAGCGTTCACAAGCCGTGCCTCTGCGTGCTCACGCGCAGCTTCGCTGGCGCGCGCCCTCTCTGTCGCCGCCATCATGTCGCGCACCAGCTCAGCCCTCGCAGAGCGCGCCGTGTGCTGCGCCTCCGCAAGCTGCGAACGCAGCGCCATGGTGTCGGCCAACGCTGCATCGGCGCGCCGCTTTTCAGCGCCCAGCTCTGCTGTGTGCTTGCTGTTGGCGGCCTCGGCGCGCTCCATGATGCGGTGAGCTGCCGCCAGCTCCGCCTCCAGCCGCTCCACCTCGGCCAGGTGCTGCGCCAAACGCCTGCGACGCCAACAGCGTTGATGCACCCGAGGGTCGCTCGCAGCGCAGGCGACCGCAGGGCGCCTGTGCCAGCACAGCGATACTCCCCTCACAGCCAACCAGTTCAAGTATTATGCCGCGCAAAGATGCTGGTGCCGGGGGAATGCCCACCCGTTGTATTCACTGGCTGCAGCTCGCTCAGCCTCAAGCGCCGCCTGGGCTTCAGCCAGCTCCTGTGGGGGAGGGGGTTATTGAACCCACAAATGCATGATATTCTCAGCTTCAGTGCGCAGACACTTTGACGGTGCTCTGCTGTGGACCTCTTGAGGAAGAGCGCAACAAGGTACCCATGCAACACCCCTTGCGGACGACACACATGGGATGCATCAACCATGTCGGAAGCGTGACAATGCCGCTCAGCCCTGGAAAACCCCTAAACACTGTTTTTCAGGCACCTGCTGGGTGGTGTCGCGCGCAGCAACAAGCTCCCGCTTCTCCTGCTCCAGCTGCTGTACCATTGCCTGGGCCTCCGTGGCCGCCCTGCGGTCCTGTTCTGCTGCAGACTCGCGCTCAGCACGCAGCGCATCGTTTGCGCCCTGTTGGCAATCCGGCCAGGGGAGGGGCAGGGGGAGCAATTAGCAGGCGTGATCGTAAACGAGCGCCGCCTATGATGCCGACCACAGTTGCCCACCACGTCAGCCGCAGCATGCCATCACGTAGGAAGAGGCCAACCAGCAGCCGCGGGCTGGCTGCACGATGCCCCTGTGCCCCGCCATGGTGCCAGCAGCACACCTCCAGCTGGCCTTGCTTTGCTCGCGTGGCTGCCAGCACCGCCTCCACATCCTCACGTCGCCGCATCGCCGCATCCAGCTCACCCTCCAGCGCTGCCACCCTGGCCTGCAGCTCTGCCGCCTGCGCGTCGGCTGCGGCACCACCCGGCATCACTGCAGCTGCCTGCAGGCCTGTTGCCAAGCTGTCAGCCTGCAGGTGAATTGCCGCGAGTGCATAGGGATCAACGCTGGGACCAAACTCTTTGCAGCCCATGGGTGGCCTCACCCACTGTGCCCGACATCAGCTATGTGCGCCCTAGACCTGTCAGGCGCGCCTGAGGCCTTCATCACTGGCCTTGATGCTGGATATCACAACCCTCTCCCTTCAGACGTCCCCACCTGGGCTTTGTGCCGCTGCAACTGCTCCTCCAGCAAGCGTGCATGCTCTCGAGCAGCAGCGAGCTGCTGCCCGAGCGCCTCCGCCTTCGTCAAAGCGGCTGCACCAGCGCTGCGTGCCTCCTCCAGCTGTCCGCGCAGCATGCTGGCCTCGGCGGAGGTGGAGCTGCTGCCCCTCAGTGCGGCCTCCAGCCCATCTGCGCGCCGGTCCCTCTCACGTGCAGCCGCGTCCTGTGCCTTCACCACCTCTGCCTGCAGCACAGTGATCCGGTCCTGGCGGGATGGCGAGGGGGCAAGGGCAAGGGGAGGGCGACAGGCAAGGAGGGTACCCATGAGGCGGAGGAATGGGTCTTGCGGTGCGCTGACTGAAAGGATATATGAGCACCCGCACCTCACACAGTTTCAAAAAAGGCCACACCCTACCAAATTGGATCTGCTGCAGCACTGCTCACACCTGGAGGGTTGCCACCTCCCGCCTGTGGGCCTCCTGCCTCATTGTGTCAATAGTGCGGGCCGCCAGAAGCTCTCCCAGGTTGGTCTCCCGCTCGGCAGCAGTCGCGCGCTCTGCGTCTGCCGCTCGCGTCGCCTGGACCTGCAGGTGAGCCAGCTGTGCCTCCAAAAGAGCCACACGGCGCTGCTGTGCGATGACGTCGTGCTCCGCCTGATCCGCTGCAGCACGCGTCTGCAAATAGGATCATAACGAGGCAGCAGCAATATGCTTGGCGGCGGTGATTTGCGCAGGGTTTGCAGCGAGCTGAACCCGCGTGCTCACCCTGGTATGTGGTATTGCAAATAAAAAATGGTCTCTACACAAAGCGCAGCATCCCTAGTGCCGCGTCTCCCTGAGTTTGTGCCCACCTGCTCCTGCTGCGCCTCCAGCCGCTCGACCATGCAGCGCTGCTCGTTCAGCTGCTGCGACAGCTGTGCGGCCTGGGCCTGGGCGTCTGCCACCTGCCGGTGCAGCTCTGCAGACTCATTTGCCAGAAGCTGCTGCTCCGCGCGAGCTGCGGCCGCATTGCTGCGGGCCACGGCCTCTGCGCCGAGTGCGGTGTCAAGCTGCTTCTGCAGGCTGGCCTGGCTTTCCGCCGCTGTGCTGTGCAGCCGAGCCACCTCTGCCTCGAGAGTCTCTACCTGGGATCGCGCCGCCTGCAGCTCAGCCGCCGGGACAGACGCATTGCGGCCGGCTTCGCCCTCGCGCACCTGCCTGTCCCGCAGCGCCTCGTCTGCCGTGCGCTGGCAGGCCTGGGCCTGGGCTGCGAGGGCCGCGCACGTCTCTGTGAGCTCCGCGATGCGGCGCTCTGTGTCGGCTGCCTCTGCCGCACGCGCCTCTGCGATTTTGGCTTCCAAGCCCTGCCTGCTGGCGTCGAGGTCCTCGGCCAGGCTGCGCGACACCGCCAGCAGCTGGCTGTTGCGCTCCACCAGCTCCGCCACTGAGTGGAACGCCACCAGCCTCGAAGAGATCAGGCCGGCAGCGCCTGGGGTGCGAGGCCCTGCGCCGCCGCTGCCGTCGCGGCCCCTGTCATCGACCGCAACATGTCGACCGTGCAGGCGCTCCACTTCTGCTGCCAGCACAGCCACCTGGCGTTCCTTGTCCACGAGGCTGCGCGGGTGGGTGGGAGGGGTGTTGTTGAGATGCTTGGCATCAGGCAGACACATCGCTTCGTGGCTGCGCGCCTGGTGCGTGCGCCAGCAAGCACTGGCCTTCTGCATGCATTGCAGCGACAAGCATGCACCCCTTGGTGCGGATATCCATCGCCTCTTTTTACGCTGCCACCCACCCGCTAATCCACCTGCCCTCTCACCTTCCCATCCGCCCA